TGCGGTGGAAAGCGCTGCTGGGCCACCAAGCCTTGCACTCAGCCCCTGGCACTGTGATCAGCGGGCAGGCTGTTACCAAAACTAACAGTGATCGCACTGCATTCTTCTTCCATAAAATTCTTTTGGGCCTCCACATGTCAGGCTGTGCAGGAGCAGGCTGGGTGCCCACCCTCTGGCACAGTGCTCAGCCTTTGCTGAGCATGCCTTCCCGTCTTGAGGAGCACCTTTTGCCCCTGCAGAGCAGGCAGCAGCATCACATTTCATGTGAAATCTGTTTGCTGCCAGTTTGAGAGGTTATTCTTTCCCTCCTGCATGTATTTTCCTTGTCTCGTACTCTATCCTGGCACTGAACTTAGCATTGCGGTGAAACTTCCTGACTTTACTCAGAATTCAGGCCATCAGCAGAAAAATGATTCAGATGTGATCTCTCACTTTGGCTGTTCAAACAGAAGCAAGCTGAGGACCCATGCAGGCTTTTTGGTTTTTTTGGTCTTGCGTTGTTTTGTGGGGTTTTTTTTGTTGGTTTTTTTGTTTTGTTTTCTTGCTCTTATTGTACAGCAAAGTCCATGCACTTGTAATTTGCATTTCATACACTTCAGTGGCTGTCCAAGCAAAATTCAAAACAAATATGCACATGCAAAAAACAGGGAGGGAGAGAATGGCTGCTGGCTTCCCAGCAAGGAGGGAAAAAATCTGTTAAGTAAACAGAAGAAAAGGGAGGAATCGTTCAGGGTTTAATTATTCCTTCTGTACACCACAACCAGATTGACCGGGGAGCTGGGTGCTGCTCAGACTGCAGCACAGTGCAGGAGGAAAAGCAGCTAAAATTAGCCCGCTTTGTTTAGAAAAATACATGCAAGTTAATGAGGCTGGGGTGCAATTTCCTCAGCAGGCAGCTTCAGGCACGCAGGGGTCTGGGCTTGGCACCCAGAGCTGCCCGCAGCCTGCAAGGTGAGGTGTGCTTCTTGGTGTGTGGGACTGACTGAAAGCTGCTTCTACAGCAAGGACGCAGCCCAGCTTCATGCCACCAGCTTAAGTGGGTCTTTGCCTGCCCCACCATGCTTTGCCATCTCCTCTGAGCACGAGGTGCCTACAGGGCATCTCAGTGCCCCAAGATGAGGTGCTGAGGATAAGGTCCAGCATTTCCCGCACTGCAGAGGGATGTAGGGCCAGCGGAGAGGTTTCTTGTTTGCTTTCTTTAATGCTGATCTCTAGCCAAAGCACTCTTTCAATTTGGAATTTGGCAGAGAGTTTTGTAAACTAAAAACGTTCTGTGTTCCTGGAGGGGTGGGGTGAGAGAAACGAGGCAGATTTTCAACTGGAGGTGGAGCGGCCAGGATCCAAAGAGCGGGTTTTGCCCAACCAGGCACATACACCCGCTGCTGCCTGCCCAGCATGCAGCAGCACCGAGACGCAGCTGTGTCAAGGCAAGGCCCCGGTGGCTGCTTTGCTGTGTCAAAGCAAAGTGACGTGAGTTGGAACCACACCGTGGCTGCGGAGAGAAAAGGGCTGAAAGGGAGCAGAGAGAGAAGAGTGTGATGCTCAAGTCTGTGCCTGGGCTAGCAGCAGCAGTGCTTTCTGGCCACATGGTGATAGGGAGAGCTCTGTCTGAGGATGCAGGAACCCTGCAGGAGGCAGCACTTGGTGCCTGGGGTTAAACCAGACAAAAATCAGTCAAGAAGGAAAAAGCAAAACAAGAAGAGCTGGCACAGGGTTTGGGGATCATGCATGCAGTGTGTGTCACTGGGATGCTGCAGCCTTGCCCAATGTGCAGAGCTCCTTGGTCCTGCTTGACCCACACTGTTGCTGCCATGTTCAGGGATGTGAGCCTGAATCTCTGCAAACACTGATTCTCTCCCCACATGCGAGCTTACGGCAGCATGGTACTTAAGATGCTCCTTCTCTTTGATTAGAATCTCATCTTCGTTTTTCAGGTCCCATAAATTAGCCTTTTAGCTGATGGTGCTCTCAAATCCAACCGACTGCATCCTTTTCTCTGCATCTGGCTGCTTGCAGCAATGTCACTAACATCAGCTTTTTAGCACAAAGGGCTGGGTGCTAAGCTCTATTCGGCTCCTGCCTTTTGCTGAGGAGAAACCCCTTCTCTTGGCTACACACTGGTACCCTTTGCAATCTCACCTACCTTTCTCCAGTGTATTTTTTTCATTTTGTCTCCCTACATTTAAAAGCCAAGTAAATTATGCCTGGAAGTTGCCTTGTAGGAAGGATGCTCTCCCCAGCATGGGGCAATATATGCTTACCCCATTCTGCCCTGTATCTTGCTGGGCTTTCCTAGGAACTGCACGCCGGGGAGTCAGCTTTCATGGTCTGCTCCCCTTGTGACAATATGTCTGAGATTTGTCACAAAGGATCCTAATTAATGACAAATAGCAGGCTGTTTTCTGTGACAGAAAATCATCTCCAATAGGATCGGTGCTGCAACCACCGGCTCCAGTTCCCAGACAGCCCCGCAGCCAGATCTGATTTTGTTAATGACTCCAGAAACCCCAGCACGGAAAAAGACAGGCCGAGTTGTTCCAGGGCCAATGTAAAGCCCTGCGTGACACAACTGCCATCCAATAGCAGTATTGCAGTGTGCGGAGCGCGTGACGAGACTCTGCCACCAGCCTGAGGAGAAGGGAGTAACAGTGAGGAGGAAGATGTCTTTTAAGCAGAAATTGGAGTCATATTAGCAGAGGGAATTGAGAAAATTGCAGGGAGAGCAAACAGATTCAGAGCTGGCTTTTTTGTATAAGCATTCTCTTTTTTCAAGTTTTCCCAGTGCTCCTTTCTTTCAGGCTTGAAGAATCAGTGTTCTTTCGAAAGCGTTGATTAACTGATACTTTATTTTTTCTGGCCTTTCCCTCAATACTATCCTGGGAAATAAAAGAGCACCAAATTGCTAGCGCATTCTCAGACAAAATGTAGGGGAGCTAGAATACAGAAGAGCAGAAGGCTTCCAACACTGCTCCCCTGTACATGGCCCCCCTGGTGGCCCGTGTCCCCGCTTCCACCTCTGTTCATTCACATAACCTGCAGTCTTGTGGGTTGTGTGGGTGACAGCGGGAGGGCAGAACGCCGCAGCTTGTCCTCCGGCTGAGGACCAGAGAGCAGACAGCTTTGTGTGTGTTCTGCTTTGCAAGTTATTTTCCACATGTTCGGCTCTAAATGTTTGCAAGAGGCCCTCAGGCAGTTCTCCCAGCCCTGAGATGTTGCCATCTGGGGCTGTCAGCTCTGGAAGTGCTGAGAAACCATGTGAACTCACTGCTAAAGCAAAGACATACAGAATGTCTTGTACACCTGTATTTCCTCAGCTACCTACCAGCAGCCTCGGGTTGCCTTAATTCCGTGACTCGCGTGATGTGCAGCTCAACACCGGGAGGGGCAGTTCTGGTGTGTGTGTTCCCGTTGCCAGGTTATCTGGAAAATTCAAAGAAATCCTTTAATTCTTTGAGTGAGGTGGGCACAAGACAACTCTGCAAGTATGGAAGCTCCCAGCACACGGAATTTCTGCTGTCAGTCTCCAGTGGGGAGCCACTCACATGCCCTGGGTGCTGCTGCTTGCCACGGCTTCTAGAGTTATACCAACACAAGTTAAGGTATCAGACTTCTCGGGCAGGGAACTCTTGGGACAGGGGTTAAATAGTATGTGGCTCAGTGGGTGTGGTGCATTTTCCCCTCCAGCATGAGATGCTGTCAAATTGAATTGGAAACAGGATGACCACCAAGGCTCCTGACAGCAAGGGGGATTTGGGCAGCACAGCTCTCAGCAGAGCTGCCCTGCTCTAGGTGAACCTTGCAATATTGCTAGCAGGGGCTGCCCCACAGCATTCTCTGTGATAGCAGAAGTGGAGTTGATGATTCAGGAGGCTTTTTCCAGTCCTTAACCTCTGTGCAATATGTGCAAATAATATTCTACATGGTTTCAAATAATTTCATCACACATTGAGCCTTTAGGGACAAGTTATATTCTTTGGTCTTGGTTGCTTTTAAATAACCTCATAAAATTGTTCTTGCTGTTTCTGTGCAAGACATAAAATATCCTTGGTTTTCAACCACAATTATTTCAAGGATGTGAATCCTACTGCTTTCTAGCAGTCCCTGGTTTTTGGCATTCCTGACCTGCTGAAGGTCCTGCCTCAGCTGAGCACCCTGAGTTATAGCCAGCTTTGAGAAATCTAAGCAGATCAAAATGAAGAGATGTTTTCTTTTGGAAAACTGAAAATGAAATGCGGTTGCTATACTTAGAGAGAATGCTGAGAAGACTATGCACACACACAAAGAAAACAAAAAACAGCCACCCTTCTGCTGAGATTACATCCTGGGCATTTGGTTACTAATGCTTAATCCGTGCTGAACAACAGAAAGAAATGGCATCACTAAAAGGAATTTGGATCAGAGAGATGTTAACATAAATGCCTAGATACGGACACCCATTTGCCATGCTCCCATTTCAACCAGCTTTTGCATTAAAACATACTATGGTGATATATGACTTCCTCAAATTGTTACGAATTTATCTGAAACACAGAGAGAAACTGCCTCATTGGAGCTATGAGTCCTGTGAGATGTATGGGGAAACATGAAAAGTAGAGTGGGCTAAATGGGTCTAACGTTAGTGGCAAGTAATGATAGGCAGTATGATCCTATTCAGAGTTACAAGGATAATACTCTTGAGCACGCTAACAGTGAATTATAGCCATTACGTAGACAGCAATGACAATATTTTAGTGCTATTCAGATTATCTGGTTTCTTTGCTTTTCATTCTACTTTTTTCTTTTTAAAAGCTGGTCATCTGGTGGTCGTGAAATGTGATGTAGTGGGAAGATTCTGTTCTCTTGAGTGTGTGTGTGTTTGTTGACTTTGGCCAACAGAGAAAGAGGAAGAACCTTGCAGTAGTTAAGCTATTGTTTTCTTCACTCACTTAGTCCAGTGTCTGGTGGCAGTGCCTCCAAAAGGCCTCCTTAAACAAACAGTGCTTCCCATTTTGTTGTTCTAGTGAACTTCCCAAGAATGAAGGATGATTTCCTGATCCCTGAGCAAGATTTGGAAGACAGCGATGATACTGGTTGGTATCAAGATGCCACATGGATAGTTTATCTGGGGGAGCTTGTCTTTCAGTATCAGCTGCTTACAGTTTCTCACAAACCTCGTCTTTAATGAGGTTTAGGAGCTTGAGAATATACACTGAAGTGGTGGCTTAGTGTCTGGACAAAGACATTAGTTTTCTTTTCTTGTTTTCCTTCTTCAGTAGCAAGCAACCTTGCAAAGTCAATATATTGTATTTGTGTTAGGACAAGTGGAACTGATCTTTCAAGCATTAATTGCTGCTTGTGTGGCATTTTGACTTGTAAATGGAGAAAATTAAGTCTGGGATCCGTGACAGGCTGTTGCCATAATTCTGAACTCAGTGGCGCTTGAAGGGCCAGAGTTTCAGTGGGTGTAAAATGCTAGCATGACATTAACATAGCCACAGGTGTAGGAGGGAATTGGGATGCTTAGCTTTCTTGGTAATTAGATGCTTCACAGTAGTTCTGGACCTAGGTTAGAGAAACCTGCGTGAGATATATTCACAGGGAGGTGTTGTGAGGCCATAACAACTCCAAGTAAGAAATGCTTTAAGATGGAGAAAAGAGTGATCGCTGGATAATAAGTACCCATTCCACTGCAGATTACTTTGGATCGGATAAGAACGACACCCTGTTCTCTACTAACTCTCCAGGAAACTCGAAGCTGGACAAAGAAAAAAGCTGGCTCTACAGCCTGGATCCCATCCTGGTGACCATCATAGCGATGAGCTCCCTCGGCGTCCTTCTCGGAGCCATCTGTGCTGGTCTTCTGCTCTACTGCACGTGCTCGTACGCAGGGCTGTCCTCACGGAGCTCCACCACGCTGGAGAACTACAATTTTGAGCTGTACGACGGTATCAAGCACAAGGTCAAGATGAACCACCAGAAGTGCTGCTCGGAAGCCTGATGGGTGCCCTGTGGGACCACCCTTGGCGTTGTGCCCGGTGAGATGGGCTGGCGGGGGGGTTACTTTATTTGCTGTTTTCTGTGGGAACTGAATGCCATAACGGGAACCGAGCGGCATGGGAGGAGTGAGGGGGGGGTGCTGCTCCCACTGTCAGCTCCTGCCGGAAGCTCCACCGGAACCGAGTGGGCAGCCCAGTGAACCGGACTGTGCTGGGTGAGGGGCATTAAGACCCTTGTTTGTTGGTTCATCTTCATTGTCTGCTGATGTGATGTGGCAAGGGAGGCTGGTTTACCTTTTGGATGTGAGAAACTAATTGTCAGTTGTTATTTTCCACTTCCTTTCTCTCGTGAGCTGCTGAGAAAGCTGAGGGCTTTCTTCAGCCCTATCTTTAGGAATGATGCACGCACACAGCGATCCTATCCATTTTAGACCCTGTCCAGTTGTTATTTTGGCTATAGGGATTTGTGCACTTCATATAAAACCCAGGCAGCTGTGGTTTCCAGTCCTGCACGTGGAAGCCTGTTGTTACCTTTCGTTTTCCTTGTCCTGGCAGGGGGGAGAGATGGGATGCTGGGCTTGGTGTTTGTGGTAACAACAGCGCTTTCTAAGTCATTAAGAAATAAAATAGAAAGGAACCCTATGTGTAGAAGCACCTCTTCGAGAGAAGCTGAAGAGCCTTAAAGTGATTTGTGAATAAGAGCCATTTATTAAATCCAAATATTGGATTGAAACAGCTGAGGCCTTCATCAGGAAGGCCTTTCTTTGAATTTCCCACCCCTCTTGATCCTGCCCTTTTTCTTCCCCCCCCTCCTTTTTTCTTTTTTTCCTTTTTTGCTGTAATGAGAAAATTGCAGCAACAAAAGACAGAGTCTGCCAGTTCCCTGCACTTGGGTATTTGGAAGCCCCTTGGCCAGGGCCTGGATGCAAGGCATGGTGCTGAGAGCTCCCAGCCAAGCCCAGGAGGGAGGACAAAGTGTGATGTAGGCCAGAGCTGTACCTGCTGCCCCGGGGAGCCTGGCTGCGTGCCCTCTGTTCCCCAGGGCTGCGGGGCGTGAGCTGGCACTGCCAGCACGTAGGGACCAAATTGCTGCCATCTTCTCATCCCCTTCAGAGTGGCACCGTTCCTGGTCAGTAGCAAAAACCTGAAGTTTTATTTCTGAGCTGTGTCTTGTCTTAGTTTAAACAAGTGCCTTAGAAGAAGTGTTTTTCCTCCATCTGATGATCAGTGCTGTATCAAACAAGTGAGGTCTTCATCCTTCCCCACAAAACACTGTCCTGCACGGCTCGCCGCTGGGCACAGCCTGGTTGAACGTGCCCAATGCTTTAAAGTGGTCTGGCTGCATTGTCACCTCCCACACCACTGTGCCGTGGGAGAGGTGTGCTAGGAAAACAAGCTAAGGGAGCAAGAAGGTTCAGATGCTGAGCCCCAAACCAATGCCTTCAGTCCTGGTTTAGTACAGATAGATTGCCTGTGTTAGCTTGCACATGCATAAGGGAAAAATTTCTCCGCACGCTGGGTTTGTTTGTTCAGGAGCTCTTTGGAAATGTCCTGGTTTTACATTTTGCCTGGTATAATGTTTTGGGCTGGGGATGGATTTTCTCGCATTACCACAGAGCGCTGTAGGTGCAATGTGGTGTGAAGCTCAGCTTGCACAGCCCCTGCATGCACATCCTACAGCAGGCCAGGTGTTCAGGGAGTCGAGCAGCATCTGGAGTGGGGAGGAACACGGACAGTGCCACAGCTGCTCCTCGCTGCAGTGGGAATAGAAACATTTGTCCCTGTTTCATGAAAAGCTCTGTCAGACAAGTTTTTAGGGGAAAAAAGGGAAGAAAGACTTGCCCACTGCTAGAAGTATGCACATGTTTCTGGTGCAGCAGATGCAACAGCTGTATCAGCCAGACATCCACGTTTCATACACGCACACACAGACACATGCGGCCCTTCATTTTTTCAATTCATGCTGTGTGCCCAACGGGAACAGCAGAACCCGTCTCAGATTCTCCTCTCGAGTCACCTTATTTCTTCTGGCTTTCTTCATGTACAAGTTCCTCAAAGGTGTTGCTTTGCTATACAAAAAGAACACGGGCAGTAGGAGGAAATGTACCAGACCATTTCAAAGCTGGACTGCTGCTGCTTGATGGCTTTGTCCCCTTTGAATCACAGGACAGGGGAAGGATGAATGGAAAAGGACCATACAGTAGAAAAGTCAACTTAGGCAAACAATAGGTGAAAATATATAATTAAAAAGATATCGTTATGGTGTCTAGTAGGCGTACAGAGAGAGTTCGTATATACATATATTCAGAAATAGTGTGTTTGCACACGCACGTGGATTCTCTGTATGTATTGTGTATGTGACTTATTCCGTGGGACTCGTGTTGCTGTGTCTCTTACCTGGGGCAGGAGAGCACTGCTGGCCCTGGCAGGCTGTGCTGGGACCACACGTGTGTGCTTGCAGGGCAGGAGCAGGCTGATAATGCTGCAAAGCCGATACCTCACTTACCTCTGCTGGGTGCTTTACTGTTCTACTACAGAAAACTGTGTTTGATTGTAACTTCAACAGGGAAAAAATAAGGTCGTCAGTGCATTCAACTCATTGCATCCTCCTCTGCAAATATATTTGATTTGCTGATCACAATTCCCTTTTGAAATTCAGAAAAGGAAAAAAAAGAAATTAGTGTTAATGCCTTTGCTGAAATGGGCCATGACCTCCACACCTTTCTGAAGGCAAGGACGTGTTGCTAGCAGGCAGGCTGTAGTGCCAAGTGATTTCATTTCATGGGAAGGTGCCGGGGCTGAGCATGGGAATTAAACCATTAAGAAATTGTATGCAGGAATGGAACTTCTCCAAGGTTTGCAGTTCAAGGTATTTGACTGTTCACTGGCTGAGCCAGGACTTATGGACTTAAAGAGCTTTTACTGTGATTCTTCGGTGTAAAAAAAAGAAAAAAAAAAAAAAAAAAAAAAAGAAAAAATCAAACTGTGTTTATATGATTTGTATAAAAACCTTTTAAAATTACTATTTAATAAACATTATGGTAGAGATTATGTTTCAGTGGCTTTTTTGTTTATGGAAGAACAATGAGAAGAAAGCTGAACTGAGAGGTCTTTGACCAGCCAGATGCCTCAGGGACACAGCAGCAAAGCTGGAGGTAAATGGCTCCAGGTGGCCTGTCGCCTGCAGTGACACAGGAGTGTCAGGGCTATTGCAGACTGCGCACACTTGCCTTCTCCCTCTCCAACATAGCCTCTCCTCCCTGGCATGGAGGCTGCTGTTTCTGTCAGATGTTCATGTAGGTTGTGGCATGGACTGCACGCTAAGCTGGGGCAGCACAAAGCAGGCAAGGCAGCTGATCCATCCCTGCCTCCTTCCTGCAGCCTGAGGGGCTTTCCAGCTCATGCACCCTACAGAGGCTGGTGTTGGAGGCCACAGGCTGGCTGGAGGAGCTGTGGGACAGAACCTGCATCATGAAGTACGTATCTATCTTATCTACCAGCCCTGGTAGATGGGAACCAATCCGTCAAGCCCCAGAGACCTCCAGAACAAGTGAAACCTTGCTGCCCTCACCTCTCCCCCTCCAGAAGCATGCTCATTAAAGAGGCTCTTTAAGCAATGAAGGGCAGCTGGCAGCTGAGATGAAGATGGCCATATAGCTGCAGCCTTGACAGCTCTTCCCTCACCTAGAATAAAGCACCAGTGTTACAATCATTACCTGGGGGGTGGCTGTCAGGGAGCAGGATGCAGCTGGCAGATAAGTGACTCAATCATGTCACACCTGTCCTGTAAATCAGTTTGGCTGGAGATGTGCCTCCTCTAGCACAAGGAGCAGAGCAGCAGGTAACAGCTGGGCAATATAGCAGGCACACACAGGAAGGACAGGAGCCAGGCAGAGGAGTGCAGTATCCACCGAGCTACCCAGCACAGGCCACAGCAAGAGCGGATGGGGAGGAGGTGAGGCACCAAGGGACATTTCCACTGTGCTGCAGCTCCAGCTCAGGCCAGGGCCTGGGAGTGGCATAGGAGCAATCAGCAGCACAGCAGGCTGAGAACAGCACTGTCACCATCCTCAACCTGCTCAGAGGGGTTCAGGCACTCCTGCACATCCTGCAGGTCCTCTGACTGCAATCTCATACACACCCTCCTCGTGGCTCTCCCCCTTCTCTTTCTAGCTATCTCTTTGCCTTCTGTTTTAATGGAAAGTTTTCTCAAATAATGACTTGCTCTCTGGACAGCTGGGGGCTTGGCAGTGAGGGGGAGCCATGGGGCTGCACTAATGAGTAAATGCGTAATTAATTAATTGGCAGCAGGTGCAAGCAACAAAAGCTGTGAAAGGTCTGGAGCACAAGTCTTACGAGGAGTGGCTGAGGGAACCAGAATTTTGCGATCTGGAGGAGGCTGAAGGAGAAATTATTGCCATCCACAGTTCCCCGAAAGGAGGTTGTGGCAAGGTGGGGATTGGCCTCTGCTTCTGCATAACTAGTGACAAGACTAGAAGAAATGGCCTCAAGTCGTGCCAGAAGAGTTCAGGTTGGTTATTAGAAAGAATTTATTCTCCAAAAGAGTGGCCAGACACTGGAACAGACTGCCCAGGGGGATGGTGGAGTCACCATCCCTGGAGGTGTTCAAGAGCTGTGGAGACACTGTACTAAGGAACATGGTTTAGTGGGCAATATTGGTGATAGGCAGACAGCTGGAATAGGCAACCTTAGAGGTCTTTTCCAATCTTGGTGATTCCGTGAATCTAAGCAGAGCATCTCTTACCTCTCCCTCTGAAGACCCCTCCTGCCACCCTGAACCTGCCAGGTACTCCTGAGCACCAAGGACTGGGGCTGGATGTCCCACCCACAGCCTACAGCCACTAGCCCTCATGTGGGCTCCCAAAATAGCACTGTGCCCCTCCAGCAGCTCCCTGGGCATCAGGCCTCGCACCATAGCCTGTACCTGCCTCATCAGCAGCCCTGCCCCTGACAGGCTGGAGAGGCAGTGGTGGCACCCTGTGCTGTTTGCTGGTTGCAAACAAGCAGTCAAGCAGTGTTCACTGCCAGCACCCATCAAACACAGCAATGCATTTAAGGCAGAAAGCTCGCCATGACTAAAGCAGTTTAATAGGAAAATAACTAATCCTTAATGTGTTGAGAGAGAATGACTCCTCTCTGGGCTCCCGCATCGTAACTCAGCTGCACCACTCATATCTGAGATGGAAAGTGCTGGATTAAATGTACTGCCCGAGAGCCAAAAACCAAGGGAAGAAATATTGCCCTGCTGCCTTGTGTTGCTGTGGGGGGTGGAAGACAGCAAACCAAAAGAAAAGGCTGTCCAACTCTCTCCACCACCCCCAGCAGTGGAGGGCGCCTGGCAGGAGTGCAGAGAGGACACTGCTGCACCCCAGATCTTCAGGAAGCCGTGCAGGGTCCTCACAGGGCCGCGCTGCTGCTAATCCCACACAGCCATCCCCATCAGTGGAGAGGCTTGGCTAACTTGGGGGAAGGAAAGTTTCTGGGCACCAAAAGCCTCTCTGCCTTGGAGAGAAATCAGGGTGATTTAAGCAGTCCCCAGATGACACATCAGAGGGAGAGCCGTAAGCCGTGGCTGCATTTATTACAGAAGGAAGTTGGGATCTGCAAAGCCAACCTCTTTGAGCGCTCCGCGATAGCGTTTTAATAAAAAGCACAACAAGTCCGCAACAAATCACAGCTTTGAAGAAAAAAAATGTCAATTCCCGTCAAGTTCTGAAGAATGTCTGAGCTTGTGGAGAAGTGAATTCCTGCAACACTTTCCTCGCACTTTGCACGGCGCAAATCCACAGCACAGCCGGGCACGAGGCAAAGCCAGCCGGGGGGGCACAGCCAAAACCGCCTCGGCAAGGCCTGCAGGGGGATTGGAGGCTTAAAGGAAATGAAATTTATGGCCCGAGCATTAAAATATTAAAAGACCTTAAGAACAGCCATGAATCTGATTTGGGGGGAAAAGGCAAGTCTGTCATCAGGCAGAGACAAACGGCTGCAGGCCTTGACAACTCACATAAATCTGGCAGAGGAGAAGAAATAAAGCCCAATCAGTCTCAAAGAGGAAAAAAAAAAAAGGTGATGAAAAGATTTCAGGGCATAAAAAGTGAGAAGCAGAGGGGAAGCTAAAGAAGATAAGGACTTGAAAGCAGAGAAGCGATTACAAAAATAGCAGCAGCAGTATGGCTGGAGGTAGAGGAGGGAAATGATTAAAAATCACCAAAAGAGCACAGGTCGCATGGGTATTTTTGATGATCTCCCCCAGGAAAATGTGTTTGTCATGTGCAGCACAGACCGGCCTGAAAGAACAAGTGGATGGCTGAACAGATGGATGAATGGACAGATGGATGGACAAACAGATAGCTGGTCAGAGCATAACGGCCTCACGTTGTACCAGGGAAGGGTCAGGTTGGATATTAGGAAACATTTATTCTCAGAAAGAGTGGTGACACATTGGAATGGGCTGCCCAGGGAGGTGGTAGAGTCTCCATCCCTGGAGGTGTTCAAGAACCACGGAGACGTGGCACTGTGGGCCATGGTTAGTGGTCACGGTGGTTGGGTTGGACTGGGTGATCTTAGAAGCCTTTTTCCAGCCTTAATGATTTTATGATTCTATAGATGGGGGCAAATCTAACATGGCTTCCCCAGACCCCAAGCAAGGAGTGGCCAGGCAGGACAAAGGTTACAGCTCTGAGCAGGGAGCTGGAAAGGAGCGCACTAAGAGTCCGTGCTAGGAAACACTGCCTGCGAGAAAGTCCTCTGAATGCTAAACAAAACCCAACCTCCAGCTACATTTTGGAGGAAAACAAGAAGCATCTGGTTCCCTTCGCTGGTTTACATAGTGAGAGAAAAGTTGGCAGTACATTTGATTGCCATAAAAGAGAGAGCTATGCAGAAAAAGCCACATTAGAGTAACATTGCCCGAAACAAAGTTAAATGTCTGCCTTGTTTTGGATGTGCTCACAGTGGAAACGTGAGCAAAGGTCAGCCCAAATCAACAAGAGATTCTAATGAATGGCCCAGGCTAGACATCAGTATCTCACCCAGCAATTTTTTTTTTATTGACTTATTTATTTCCTTGGACAAGGAGGCATCCTTCAAACAGGGCAAACAGTATGCCCAGTGCTTCTGATGGCTGGCATGCCCTGTCACATCCTATGACAACCCAGCTGGCTACTAGCAGGACAACTCTTCTGGGGCAGATAGCATTGTGGCACCAAAGGGTCTTTGCATCTCTTTCTGCCACAGTGCAGTTTTACTGCAGGAGAAGTTAAATACTGAGCTTGGTTTGATCTCAGGAGGGAGAAGGAGGAAGAGGAGCCCAGCCCTGGCTGCATGAGCATCCTGGAAAGGAAAAGCCATTCTGGCAGCCCTTGAGCTCCTAACTCCAAGCACATGGATACTGCTGCTGCCCAGCTTCTGCAGCAATGTGCCCCTGTTGTGGGGGCATGGAAGAGGTTGGAACAGCCATGGGCAACGGTGGCAGCAACAGCAGCCCCTTCTTGCAGTATACTTGGGGATTTCAGGGAGCAGAGATAGGAAAGGCCCCTCGAGGGTCCCATGATGCCCCCACCTGCCTGGGGCAGGCCCCAGATGTGCTGCAGGATGCATCTGAATGAAGTTCTACAGGACCAGGTGTGGAACATGCCGACAAGATGCATCATCACCCAGCCCCATGCATGGCAGGGAGAGGGACAGACCCCCACTTGGAGAGCATTTCAAAAACAGTCTTTGTTGTTTTCAAAGGAAGATGTTATTCCCACTGACTTCAAGATTAGAAATAGAGTTTACCAAGTTCAGCAGGTGGGCTTGGGAGGGCGGAAACAGCTGCAGTAGCTTGTATTTCTAGATACCAACACTGTGACAAGCAGGAAACTGCTCAATAACTTAAAAAATGAACACCAAGGTTATCAGACTCGGGATAATGACGAGGTTGCAAATACAGCAATGCCGCCAGAATTGAAGAGATTCAGGATCCTGGCTGAGGAATGAGTTGCGATGATTCCCCCAGATACTTGAGCTGAAGTGCAGAT